CCACTAATTTACTGTACCTCTGTATGAAATTGTTCCCTTTACATCAAAGTCCTTCAACCAAAAGTTCGGGCACCATTGTCCATAACTACGTTAGAAGTGCACAGAGTCTAAATTAAGAAAAACAAAATGTACACTCTCCGACACTCCACGGACATTTTTTTCAGTAAACCTACAGTTTAATTATTTTTTCTGCAATTGTAGTCCTTTTGATTGTAAGTACAGAAAAAATAATCAGCAACCTTACAGAAAAGTGGTCTGTTGATAATATTTTCTGCAACTACAGTTATGATCAAGCAGAAAAAAATTACTGTTCCATTCTAGTAAAAATGATCTATAAATGTAGGCAAAATGTTCTCTACATACAGATAATATATACAAGAATTAACAGAAAAGATTTTAAAGAGTCAGAATAACTTTTTGGATGTTTCCGCTAAAAGTCACAATTCACCCATCTCTTAAAAGCCGCTTACATTGAGTCCTTTCTTGACTTGTCGAAGCTAAGAATGTTTTGTAGGATCATTTTGACTAAGCGCATTACCTTCCAATCAGCTTTGTTTGAACGGAGAAAAATTTCACTGAAACTATTTACTGAAGATCACAAAGTAGTCATCGACAAATTGTTTATGAGCACAAACTTTATCTTCTACATTTGCAGAAAATAAATTCTTTGATTATAAACAAATTTGTCATCATATTTCTACTGACATTGTAAATTTTCTGTAAGTAAGTAAAAGATTGTCTATAATTACCAAATTTGTTACCGCTAATTTATCTGTATCTCATGTAAAATTTATTCGATATGTTATTGAAAATATTTACTATATCATAGTAACGCTCTAAAATCAGTAAGCCGTAGAGTAAATTTTCTACAATATAGAAAAAATAATCAGTGAAGGTCTGAGAGTGTAGTCTGCAAAAGATCTGTTTCTTAGAAATCACATTTCTGCATGTGTCGGGGTATGTCCCTCGCGCGGGAAAACCCCTTGTCGCAGCGTGGGCATCTTGGTAGTATTGGCGGCGAGGGCCGCGGTGGCAGTCGGGAGCTCCCCCAGCGGCGGCTGCCGTCGGCGTCATTGACGTCCTCCTGCTGTTGACAAAGACGTGCTTTTTTGGATTCACTCGTTATTGCACTGTAGTACTCTTGTGACCTCAAACATTTCGGAAAGAATGATGTACACAGTACTCTGCAAACTCAACGGTGTACTCAGTACACTCTCTTTAGCGTGTACTCACGAGTACGCTTTCTTCAGCGCGTGCTGTTACTAGATGCCCCCCCCCCCCACTGCAAATACAGTGGTAAGTTTGCTTGCCACAAATTTGGCAAGCCGTTTTGAATGCCAAAATTTGACAAGCTTCGGTCGGCACTCTTCATAAGCTTGCCAAATTTTGGCAAGCTGGAGAGTATTTCCGGGCCAAGCTTGCCAATTTTTGGCATTTAAAACGGCTTGCCAAATTCGTAGCTCCACTGGCATTGTAGTGTCCCCTTACTGGTGGGCTTGCTGTTTTACTGTATTTCTCTGCTAAATACTCTCAATTTGACATCACACGGGACTTCAAAGACCCCACTCTCATTCCAGGAACGTGACATCACGTTGAAACGAACGTGACAAACTGTCACGTTCGTTGGAGCATTGTGTCACATTCGTTTGGGTGTGATTTGGCTGAAAATCAGCTCGTTCACATTCTAACGAACGTGACACAATGCTCAAACGAACGTGACACTTTGTCACGTTCGTTTCAACGTGATGTCACGTTCCTGGAATGAGAGTGCCCTTAAACTATCGGAACGACGCCCAACTCGACTGGTTGCCGAGCCGTTCGAAATCCGAAGAATTTGGCAGCCACTATACAAAATGGCGGCAATTACTGGTACTTCCGGTGACCTCGTCGTTGTTCTGACATCGCTAATGAATTCCCCGACCTCGAATTATGCGGAAAACACTCGTCACAAGATTCTTATCGTCAATATTGAAGCTTTAAAAATTTTGAACACTTTTAACCTTTTCGCCCCTGCACTTGAGTCCTAAGGGAAATTTTGACGTGTGCTTCGGAAAAAATCGACCAATTGGGTCAATAGAAGACGTGTGCAAAGTGGCTTGGTTGTAACCCAATTTGCAACGTGTTTTGGGTCTGTTACCCAGTTAAAGTTGATAAAGTTAAGGATTTAGGGCTCAGCAGAAAGGCAATAAGGACGCGGGAAACTTCATTTGAGTGAGTGTCATCTGATGGGAGAACCTCAAACATCAAAGCGTAAATCCCAGCAGCAGAGCACAGGGGCGCGCGCGTGTGGCGCGAGTGTAGGATAAGGTGAAAAGTGGGTATGCAGAGGTCCACAAGAATCACTCGTTCTCCGAAACTGAAAATAATACTTTCTGTGGTTAGGAGGGTTAAGTGCCGAACATGGATCGGGGTACTATGGATCATTTTTGTAAGCGAGCCCGTACCGCCAAACCAATCGACCAATTTAAAACTTTTCAAAGTTTTTCATTTGGTATACACATTACACTACAAGAATCACGCGCGGCGGAGCTGATCAATCTCACCGTTACCCTTACAGTATGCAAATGAAAAAGTGCCTCTGAAAAAGGGTCCGAAAACGGCTTGGTTTCAGGTTAGGTTAGGAGTCAAAATTCATATCGTTATAACACACGATCCATTCATCAGAAATGTCTCAAAATTTTTTCGTGGCACCTTCAGAGTGTACCCTTTTAAAATTTAGACGACCAGAAGTTATCGGACCGCCCCTTTCAAAACGCGAGGGGGGGGGGCGTGATCCATGTTCGGGTCAGACCCAAAATCAGTGGCATTTCAAAGCCCTGTAAATTTCAAGGTTTTTGTTATACAAGGTAGGTTTACGCCAGACCGCGTCTTGTCGTAACAGGCTTCGCGATGTCTCGCAGCCTGTTCCTCCAATCCGCGCCTGGCGTACCTACCTTGGCCTGCGGCGCTAGCCTGCCTTCGGCAGGCATTGGCTTGTTCATCGTCTGTTACTTCTTACTTGTTGCATACTGGGGGGCTCCGCCCCCCAGACCCCCCTTCATTCTAAATAGAGTTGCTTCATCTACAGATAACACGATCCTGACCCTTGTGACTATTTAGCTTGTCGAGGCTGGGGGGCTCCCCCCCAAGACCCCCCGTTCATCAAGACCGGGAGAGATCTGCCTGCAGATAACTCGATTTTTCGCCGTATTTTAGGTGTTTTTCGGCCATAAAAACTGAACCAGTTGAGCTAAGATAGTGAGATTTCGCGTGTGCCGAGCCAAGAACATACCTAATGACCCTGCAAAATCTCAGCCAGATCGGCCGAGCCGTTCAGGAGGAGTAGTGCGCACACACACACACACACACACACACACACACGCACACAGACAGAAAAAGTTTTTTAACCCCACTGGAGTAACGGGCTTCGCTATCGCTCAGCCAAAAAGGTTCAGTTCTTGAGAGGAGGTTGTTTTTGTGGTCATCTTGGAGTGTATCGAAGAAAATTTGGGTCATCGCTTGTTTGAACCGAAAATACTGGACATTTCTAAAATGTGATCCATGTTTGGTAACCTTACCCTAGTCCTTTGTGATTAGAGATTAGAGAAAACCTGTATTAAGGTAAATTTTAAGCCAAAACCCTATCCAATTTGGTTCAGGTACTACCCATTTTGCATCATTTTGAAAAAATTGCCTCAAAATTATGAATAATGAAAAACTGCCCGACAACCTTTGGACAGGTTTCATTTTTTTTTTTTTTTTGAATTTTTCATCTTCTTTCTAACGTTTTTAAGAGACAAAACCTTTTGGTGAAAATTTTCAAATTGCGATATTTCAGACCCCTGAGCACTTTTCGGGAAAAAGTTCCGCCAAGGCAAGCTTAGCAAAGCGGTCTTGCCGTGGACCGGCCGGGGAGGCCGGGCAGCGAGGGGGCATGAAGGGTGGGGGAGGCCAGGAGAATTATAAATGCCTTCGGCTCGGGAACAGACGCTGGGCCTGGCGTTCTGACCATGGTCGGTAGGAATTTGGAGAAACGAAAATACTCAGAATTAAAGGATATGTAAGCAAACATATATATTGAGGCGCACTCAGTAAGACATTTTTGAGTAAATCGAACCCTTTTTATCACGGATTAGCCGGTTTTAAACCTTAAAATGACAAAAAAGGAAGCAGCGGCGGGGGTCGACTGCAGTGTCTGGCGAAGATCCGCGTCGGGCGCTATCTGCAGGGCCGCTTTGTGGGCTCATTTGCAGCCTTGTTAAGCTCTAGAGGGGCAAAAGTTTGGGCTTGGATTAAAGCTAGAGGCTTGAACTGTGACCACGTGCATTTATTTTAAAACATTAGGGTAGAAATTATTTGCATTCTCCTTACAAAGTCGGACTTCTTTAAGCCGTTAGCAGGCGGTGACTTCGAATCACCGACCATGGTCAGAAAGGTGTTGTGACGACTTTGTAAGGAGAGTGCAAATATTTTCTACCCTAATGTTTTAAAATAAATCCACATGGGCATAGTTCAAGCCTCTAGCTTTAATCCAAGCCCAAGTTTTTGCCTCTCTAGAGCTTAACAAGGCTGAAAATAAGCCCACAAAGCGGCCCTGCATTTAGAGCCCACCTCGGGCCTCTACTCCCCCTCGCCTGGGGAGGCTGTGAGGAGTGGGGTCTGGCGCGGCGAGGCAGCAGCGCGGCGGGAGGCGAGGACGACGAAACGACAAACGACGACGACCATGCAGTCCCCTCTGAGTGGGCTGAATGGATGGATGGATGGGATGAGTGGGCTTTGGTGGAAAGGTAGAAGCGGTAGCAAGACCGCTTGAAAAGTGTGGGGTCTTTTATAGTCCCATTGGGCTAACAATCGCTGAAAAAATCGTCGGGGTCGGCGAACGCGGGCGAACGTGTCCGTCTGGACCCTGGCGATTTGGCGTGGAATGACCCTGCAGTCCTGCTTAGCGACTCTGGAGCTCAAAATGCGTCCAGAGTTTTGACCGCCTGCGCCGGTCTTCTCGCCCACTGTGCGCCACCTACCTTGGCGATGACCCCGGTCTGGTGTAGGTGCAGCAGCAGTGGGTGGAGCAGACTGCCTCCGCCACGCTGCCCAGCCAGGCGGCCCTTCCACAGTGTGCCGCCCTCGGCCCGCAGCTGCACCTGCAGCGTGCACCTGGCCTGCAGCAGGCTGGCGGTGTCCTGCAAGTCCTGCAGCTGCTCCAGGCCGTCCGGCAGGGCTGCCTGCACGTCGTTCCAGTCCTCGTCCACCCTCGCGCGCAGCTCCCGCTCCGCCTCGTCGAACTGCTGCATCCTGCCCCGCCACTGCTGCAGCTGGTCCTCCACCTCGACCATGGTGTCCTGCAGGGCCTGCACCACCTTGCGCGCCGCCGTCGCAGCGCTCTGCAGTCGCTGCAGCTGCGCCGCCGCCTGCTCCGAGCGCAGCTTGCGGAGGGAGCAGAGACTGTGCTCCATGTCTCCACACTCCTCGGTGGCAGTCTTGCCGCAGTCCCGGCACCAGAACCTGCACATTGGCGCACAGAATGTGTGGCTGTGGTAATTTATATTCTGACCAGAAAACGAAGAGCCCTGAGTTCTCGCGGTTAATGGCATCTGCCGCCTTGGATAGCATTGCAGGTGGAGGTAGCCCTCGACCGCGAGAACCCAGGGCTCTTCGTTTTCTGGTCAAAGAATAAGGCGAGGTGACTCAGTGAAAATTTGAGTTCATGACATTTTCAAGGCTAATTTTTCTCACAACAATGTCATCAAAACAACTGAAGACATTCCTGTCACGCTCGTGCAATAAGTATAGGTGCATCGTCTCGCTCACCTCAGATCTCGGAGGTGCTGCTGGTCTTTCTCAATCAAGCCAAGAACGAAGAAGTTGTCGGGTAGCGCCTCGGCCGGGCCGGGAAATGCCTGAAAAAAAGGGCAGAGGTGGCACTCACACTGTGATTCTAAAGGCTTAGAACATAGCACGCGAGGAGGTATGCACTCGCGTCAAAGTCGGGTCACTCTGTCCATAGCACGCGGCCATAATTCACCGGATTTTCCCCTTTTTTTTGGGGGGGGGGGCTTCTCTGCAAATGAAGCTTGGGGGAACCTCGGTGTAACACGTATAAACTTACCTCCAGGCAGTGCGGACAAGTCTGTTGATCGATGCCTTTCAAGCATTGCAGACACACTGTGTGTCCGCAGGGAATGGCTTTGGGCCTCCTTTCCACGGTATCCAGCCTCTTCATGCAAATATTGCAGTCCATGCGGGCGGGAACTACTGTTAACAGATGAATAGAGGTTACGAACATTCAGCGCCAGTTGTTCACAGGCGATATCTTCTCGAAACTATTGAGTCAAAAAGCAGCGAAACATTGGACGACACACTGTTATTCCGCGAATATGAAGTCACATTCGTTTGGATGTGAGTTTCGTCACGTCCGCGGACGTTTGAATATGCTGCGACATTCGACTGAAAGTTGATCCACATTTAAATGAATGTATGGCATCGTAATTGAAAGGAACGTTTGAACGTGACACGACCGTTCAATTAGGGCGTTACATGGAGGGAAAAACACGTCTAGAATTTTGGCCGCCTCCACAGGCACATAGGCCACATAAGAGGGCAGCGAGTGTGGGACAAAACGTCTCACACAAGCGTGGGACAAACGTGGCTCACACTTGTACACGGTAAAAACGGTTCCTGGTTTTCCCAGGAACTCCCTGGAAATCGCCTATGTCTCTACCATAGGCTTCCTGGGAAAACCAGGTTCCGTTTTTACCGTGTAGGCGTGAGACAGTGTGAGTCTTAACGGTGACACTATCTGTCTGACACTCGGATCAGCCCGAGTTCTCGACACAGGCTGCACCTAACCGGGTCTTCGCCGTGCAACCCGCCACTGGTACCCGAGGTCCCATGTTTGAGAGCTCACCTTGCGCGCGGCAGCAACGTTTCGCCTACTCCCCTCCTGCGTCGAAGGCCGACTGAACGGCGAGAGAAGGCCAAGGCCCTGCTGGGCGGAAGGCCCCGTCGGGACGCCAGTGCAAGGTCAGCACCGCGCCGACCGGCACTCGCACCGTCAGCAGCTAGACCATGGGCAAGACGACCGAGGCCTCTGCATCGTCCCCCCCTCCCTCCCCCGTTAAATATTGGTCGCGTACGTACAACATTCGAGGCAACTTCGTGCAAATGAGAGGCAAGGGTCGGGAACCACCCGGACCATGCATGCCCTGCACCTCTCGGTGGGCAACCCCTGAGTAAGGAATTCCGGGCAAGTCCCGGTCCTTTTTTTGAGCCGGGCCTAAGGGGTTGACCACTCAGCTCAGGAGTGTACACAGGATTACTGATTACCAGTGATTACCTACAAACACACTCAAAAAACTCCATAATTTTGACCAGCTAAGAGCATTTTGGCCTCATTTTATAAGAAAACCCCCAAAATCCGATAAAAACGGCGAAACTAGCCAGTTTTGGTGTGTGATTACCAATGATTACCGGACGAAGTGTACACACGATTACCAGAGTGGGTAACCCCTTGGCCGGGCCCGACCCTAGCCAGCCAGGCGCGGTAGGGTGGGTGGGTGGGGGGAATGGGGTGCCTACCTGACAGGGTGGCAAAAAGTGCTATTTTTCCCTGTAAGTAGACAAGAAGTGCTATTCTGCCCCCCCCCCCCTCCCGGCCGCCTCTGGATCCGCCACTGTAGCCAGCCCCGACCCAACCCCGAGCAACTCCCGGGCAACACTGACACACGGGAAAGAGCCGCGTTGGAGCCGCGCGGGGAGGCAGCGCCGTGCGCGGCGACGTACTTTGCCTCCTGTCTGGCCGTTTAGCTGAGTGACCCCGTTGCCCGCGCTCGTCTCCCCGTCTCTCTCGCACTCTTGCAGTGTGCCGCAGGGGTGCGAGGAGAGACAGAGCGACCGGCGCGGGCCACGAAATTGCGTGGCGGGCCAGCAGGAGCGTGCTGCAGTGCAGCCATGCCAGCACTGCATGAGGGCCAAGGGAGGGCAAGGGCATGCCGCCAACGGGCCGCCTCGCAGGGCTTGTTGGCCCTTCGGCCGGCACTTCCAGCCGCAGAGCAAGGGAAGGTGAGGCACAATGGGACACGGGGTACAACGGGACGGGACAGAGCCGATATTTTGCGCTTCTAATGCAGTTTGAGAGCCAAGAAAAACTAGGGGTACGCGCCGATTAGAGTGGGCACGTAGTGCGGCTGAGCGATGCTAAATGACATAGTTTGTGCACTTCAGACGTTCCTTGAGTAGACAAAATGTAAATGTGCATCTTATGGGCACATATTGAGTGAAATTTAGGCCTGGGGTACAAATGGAAGTGATCTACGGTATCAGCACACAAAAAAACTGCTGGGTTCAACTAGATAAAAAAATTTGGTCCAAGATTGATCAAATTTCGGTAAAGCGTCAGTCTGGGAATAATTTGAAAGTCATTTTTTAAAACAATATAAAACTCAACTTGAAAAATTTTGGTCCAAACTGATCAAATTTGGGATGAAAATATAGGTCTGGAGTCGAAATAGAAGTGATTTTCGTTATCAGCACACAAAAACTGCTGGGTAACGTCAAACTCGATTTAGAAATTTTGGTCCAAAATTGGTCAAAATTCGGTAAAGCGTGAGTCTGAGAAAAATTTGCAAGTCGTTTTTGAGTTCAGCCAGTCTTGTGCAGGAAACAATATGAGACTCGACCTGAAATATTTGATCCACAATGACCTGATATGGGGTGCAAATAAAAGTCTGGTGTCGAAGTGAAAGTGATTTTCGTTATCAGCACTTAAAATACTGTTGGGTGTACAATTTAAATTGTCGTGAGGCACTTTTTAACTTGTGTATCGTTTGGCGGAAGATTGTGCTCGAACTTTCATAAATTTATGATAAATTTACACGTAAAATTTATGATAAATTTATTAGGCAAATTTCACGTAAGCACAAAAAACCGTCCAAAATTCTACATTCAAATTTAGTGTGTGCAGCCGTTTCGTTACAGAAAATGGATCTGGCAAAGGAAGGAATTAGTAGGTACTCAAGAAATAATTATTTAATCCGACAACAGTCGTTTACTTTACAACATAATTTTAAATGTAAGTATACAGAACATAGTACGAAATGAACACCAGAGAACTTTTAACCCGACATTAATGGCCTTTTACATGGAACGAAACTATCAGCTCTCAACGATCCTACTAGTTTCAAATGTTGATGAAACAGAACATATTACAAAATGAACGCCAGAGAACTTTTATCCTGACATTAAAAGCCTTTCACATGAAACGAAGCTATCAGCTATCAGCTTTGACCTATTCGATACACAAGGGGTAAAATGCACAGCAACTGCAGGTGGCACGGCACTCAGCATCGCTTTCACACAGCGAACAAAAGTGTTCGGGACGCAACAGGAATCATTCGTCATGACTTGGCTCAGACAGGTGCACGCGGCGTCCGGAGCGACCGCTGCGGCCCCAGAGGTTCCTCCGGTTGGCGCAGCAATGAACTTGAGGTTGCCGGTGATGTACCCAGCACTTTGGGACCCTGCCTGGTGAGCTGCACGGCGGCGTCTAGTAACCGCACCGCGGCCGGCCAGCCGGGTGAGTTGCTCGCGTCTGATGAAGCGGTCTCGCTTGAACAGACTGCTGTCGTCGTCGTCCTCATCGTCGCTGCTCTCGGACTCATCGAAACTCACTGCGCATGAAACAAATGTATTAACAGTGCGTACGATGCAAATCAGAAATTCTGTGGGTCAGAACTTTTCATGAGTCAAGGCTGAGCTCCACTCTACAAATGAAAGCTACTCATTATGCTTAAGCAGATGCTTACTTGCATTGCATCACTCAGAAAAGTTGCAAAGAAAAGTACCTTCGTGACAAAGCTATTCTAGTCGTCGACTAAGAACAAGAAGAAAAACCGAAAATGAAGTGGATTACGAGCAGGTAGCGAGCCTAGTTTAAGGGAGAAATGTTGAGAAAATTTCTTTTCCTTTACCAATAAGTATTAGAAACAGGCCTAATAGCATATCAACGCGAGAGGATTCGGGAACCTCTAAAATTATTGCACTCGAACGGGTGGACGGCGCCATTTCCGGTTTTGTGCGGCTTCTTGTTCTTCACTCACCAACGACTGGAATGGCTTCATCGATGATCTTTGTCTTTCTTCACATCAGGAAACATCAAATTAGACGAAAAACAGCTTTTGAGAAAATCCTACGTGACATCGGTAGGGGGGGAGGGGGGTTCGCGAAGATCCTACGGTGTGTCACGATGTGGGGGGGGAGGGGGTCCAAAAGTGGCCTAAAACGGTCACGTAATATGGGTACGGCCCCCTATCAGCTATCAGCTTTGACCTATTCGATACACAAGGGGTAAAATGCACAGCAACTGCAGGTGGCACGGCACTCGGCATCGCTTTCACACAGCAAACGAAAACAAAACAGTGTTCGAGGACGCAACAGGGGAATCATTCGTCAATGAACTTGGCTTCAGACAGGTGCACGCGGCGTCCTCCGGAGCGACCGCTGCGGCCCCAGAGGTCCTCCTCCGGCTTGGCGCAGGCAATGAACTCGAGGTTGCCAGTGATGTACCCCAGCACTTTGGCGCCCCTGGCCTGGTGGGGCTGCACGGCGGCGTCGTAGTAGACGCGCACCGCGGGGCCGGGCTGGCCGGGTGAGTTGCTCGCGTCTGATGAAGAACCGGTCTCGCTTGAACAGGAGCTGCTGCCGTCGTCGTCGTCCTCATCGTCGCTGCTCTCGGACTCATCGAAACTCACTGCGCATGAAAAAGAAATGAGTATAATAAAAACAAGTGCAGTAGCGATGCAAATCAGAAACTATACATGTGGGTCAGAACTTTTTCATGACGTCGGGGCTGAGCTCCACTCTACAAACTGAAAAGCGTACTCATTATGCATAAGCAGATGCTTACTTGCATTGCAATCACTCAGAAAAGCTTGCAAAGAAAAGTACTTTGCAGTACAAAGCATTCTCCGGCATTGTATTACAAACGATTACAAACCCCCTTGCAAACTTTTTTCTTCGCATTGCAAAGAAATAGTTCGTAAGTTGCGAAGAAAAAAGTTTGCAACGTTGCGAAGCATTGGTTTGTAACGTTGCAAAGCATTTTCTTTGCGAGTTGCAAAGAAATACTTCGCAATGCAAAGAAAATAGTTTGTAAGAAAGTTCGCAATACAATGCCGGAGAATACTTTGCAAGGTTTTTTGAGTGAAGGACACACCAGTAGATGCATATTTGGCTGAGTACACACCTACATAACGCATGCATCTGTGCATGTATAGCCATAAGATCTGGTGCCGCCGCCACATGGTATGAGGTGGGCGGCTAATGTGGAGTGATAAGATTAGGTCTCTTAATTTTTCTACGCTCTACACTTTGGCAAAAAGGTACGGAAAATACTGTTAATTTTTTTGCCAGGATTCTCCGTAGCCCTCTTATCAATATTCTCCGTAGGACCGCACAGTGGAGATCACTGTAAGAGCCTACGGAGAATACTGACAAGGGGGCTACGGAGAATTACCACAAGCTGAATTTTCCATAGCTTTTAGCCACAGTGTACGTCTCTACGCTTGAAGAAAGGCGCAAAAGTACGCTTCAGTTCTTCCAGCGCACTTGCTAGATAAATACCTTCGGACGCGGCGAGCGGCTGGACGCTGGCGGTCTTCCTGGCGGCCATGGTGGCGAGCCGCGGAAAGCCAGCGGCTCCTTTCGGCCCGGGGACGTCCTCGGCGACGTCTTCCTCGCCCAGCACCAGCACGGCCCCCGGTTGCAGCTTGACGCCGGGTGGTCGCTCCGGAAGCTTGGCCCAGACGGCCGCCACGGCCACCGCCGTCGCCTTCCTCTCGTCGTCGTCCTTATCGTCATCCTCGTCGTCGTCGTCGGCCGCCAGGTGCGTGTCCTGAGGAGCAGTTCTTGGATTACGAGTCTACCACGGCCACGCGCCACAGTGGGCCAGAAGAGCGGTGCAGGCAGCTGCTCTAGACTCTAAACTCTGGACGCGTTTACAGCGCCAGAGTCGCCACACAGGGCTCAAACTAAACGTGTGATTCCCCCCCCCTCCCCCCACCCCCACCAATGGATTGCTCTTCGAACTAGGAGTGCTTGCACTCTAGGAACAAAAAAATTTCCCTTGCCATTTAGTGTGTTGACACTTCAGTTAGTGACAATGCATCAGAGTAAATGTTTGTGAAGAATAGATTGAAGTGCGTACACGGTGAAAACCTTACAAACTATTTTAAGCCAACGAAGCATCTTGTTATAACCAAGTATTCTAAGCATACATAAGCTTACAAAGAAAATACTTCGTAATTTACGAACTATTTATCAGGGATCCTCAACATAGCATTTAACTAACAGTGGTTCCATAAAGTAACATAAGACAACGTTCGCTAAAGGTGAAGGGAATGGACAGTCGCAGGTACTTCCAAATACAAATTCGAGAAGCTAGAAAAATAATCTATCGTTTTATAGAGGATAAAGATGTTTTCAGTTACGGGTTACCTTTAACGCTTACGATAACGTTATTATGTCCTTTCGAGGTAAGTTAAGGATTCCTGCCATATACTTCTCCGTATGATTGAGTAAGTTAGTTTGTATTGTGTATGCTCAAAAAATTTCGTACGGTACCTCCGGGCACAGCGTCAAGTCAGCAAGAAAGGCACACAGCGCGTCGCGCTCGCCGGCCGCGAGGTCGCCGCAGCAGGCGCTCAGGGTCACGACGACCTTGTTGCGGCCGTGGCCCTCCAGCTCCGCCGTGCACGCCAGGCGAGGCCCCTCCCGCAGCTCCAGCGCGTCCAGGCGCCGCATGGCGCGCTCAGCGGCCGTCAGCGCAGCCGCCACCCGCCGGCGAGCCTCGGCCACGCTCAGCAGCTCGTGGGCCGCGCAGCCCGCCGTCGCCTCGGCAGCGCAGTTCGCGCACCACGGCCTGGAAAGGGTCGTGAACACTACTGCAAATCCAAACACCGTAAAAGCTAATGTTCGAAATAAACAGCGGATCCTTCGTCAAAAAAAGAAAAAGAAAACAGGAAAAAGCGCCGATACACATCGGCAACTTTGGCCTGTCCCGTAGAGATGTGCAAATTTCGTCCGTTCAACCCCAACAGAAACTAAACTTAAGTCTGCGGTCAAAATTGTAGTCATTTTCGAAACCAGTTCCATTGTGTTCCCCAGATCTTTTACCGTAGAGAACCAATCTCGAAATCAATCCGAAAATTTTCAGCAAATTCGGAGAAAAATAAGGAAAGTTTCACGACTTAAGTCTTATTAGACTGAAGTTAAAACTTTGATATCGTGCCACAGCCAAACGGGGCAAGATATCGCTATAAACCCTTTCACACTAAATTCCTTTGTACGTTTTTCTGCGCTCGAATGCACGAAATTAAACATGCACCTCGTAACGCACGAACTTGTGCGCGACAATGCACGATTTCCTGCACAAGTATGCAGAAAATCGTGCATTGTTGCGCATAAATTTGTACGTTACGAAGTGTATGTTTAATTTCGTGCATTTGCACGCAGAAAAACCTACATAGTAATTCAGTGTGTTGACGTGGGATCTTAATCCAAAAGTTAAATCCAAATCAAAGAAATGAACTTCCGAGAAATCGTTGATTTGACACAAAATATCTTCGGCATAATCTTACACAATTTCTATGTAAAACCCCGAAATATTTTTTAAAGGTGGAGCCTCAGCTGCGATAACTTACCTTCCCTTATTGCTTGCGGTGAGGCCACTTGCACCCTTCGTCCGCTTCCTGATGCGGTAAGGCGGTGGCACGTCGACATGGTAACCCCGTTGGACATCAGCTTTGGTCCTCCCACTGTAAAAACCAAAACAAAAAACAAACCTCCAACATTGACGAAAGTATCTGTGGAAAAATGATGCCGAAGGAACCTCCGTAAAGTCACGAAGGTTCTTGGTAATTTACGAAGATTCTTCGTAAATCGACGCACATTCATCGTGCATACACAAAGATATTACGTCAATTCACGAAGGCTCTTTGGTGAAACACGAAGATTCTTCGATACAATATCCGAAGAATCTTCGTAAATTTGCAAAGGAACCTTCGGCACCTTTCTTCCCGAGATAACTTTGGTAAATCCGAATTGATTTCTTACACTGTCCCAAACTTCAGCGGTCGAGGGTTCAGCTTCGGCTTGGCCCTTGCGGAGGCGATTTCGGGGACGCTCTCAAGGTGCTTGGAAGTGCCTGGCTCGGAGCCCCGGTCCGCCATCTTGGTGATCAGAGGTCCATCGCGTGAAGGTTCCAAAACAGCAGTGCGTTCGGATTCCAGTGCTCGAGAGCGCGCATGGCCTAAACCGGCCTTGCCTGGTGCCTGGTCTTTGCGAGGCCGTTTGGCAGCCGCTTGTTGCGTGGATGGCTTCTTGGCGTTCTCGGTGACATGCTTGGCTGCTTTCACGGTGCTTACAACTTTTGCGCTGCCTTTACCTTTAGGTTTGGCCACTTCGGTAGGATCCACTGCGGCGGCTGCCTTGACTGCCTTGCCTTTGCCACGAGGCTGCGCTTTAGCAGGTTTCGCGAGGTCGGAAGATGGCTCACCCGCGCGTGTTTCTTGCTTCGGCTTCGACGTCGTCTCTGTGAAAAAAAAAAGTCACGATATTAGGTCACATTTGGTCACGACATTAAGTCACAGGGGGTGGCAATGACCTAAGAAGAGCGTGACGCCCTGCTCGCGTCTTTGATGCAGAGGTTACACCGAGAGGGAAATCACTCTTAAAACCTGCGACCCGACTATTACGTCTCTTACGCTCTAATACGCCTCAAAATTATAGAGATATAGCTGAAAAGGGACCAAAAAACCCTAAGATAGATGAAATTTGGAAAATTTCTGCTATTACTCTGAACTCCCCCCCCCTATCTTCAGCCTAACGTTACGCAAAAGTTATAACTTTAAATATTGCTTACAATTTAGAAACGTGCTCTCATATTTAGTATATGATTAGCTTCACGTTACGCTAGCTCGTTAGGATGTGGATCAGCCATAAAGTAACTTGTTCACATTTAAACGAATGAGACTTAATACCGCAGCGTAACCAGACACCCCCTCCTAATCAGGGCGTAACGTAATGGTATTTTGGAGGGTCTCTGGACCGGAAGAAGAAAACCGGAAATTAGAAAAGGCGGTTTAAATGAGAATTATACGCTGTGGATGAACCCCTGAACTCATCCGCAGCGTATATTTCTCTTAAAAACTGCCACTTCTAACTTCCGGTTTTGTTCTTCTTCTTCCGGGCCAGAGGCCCTCTGAAATATGAATGGACGGCCCCTTGTGCCGAGCATGACAAGATAGTCGCAAAAAGATAATTTGTGTCCCATCAACTCACCCGTCAGATGTTCTGGAACCAAATGCTCGACTGCCTTCCGTTTGGCCCGCGACTTCGGTCGAACGAGCTGTTCAGTACCTGATGGCGGAGAGAATGCCTTGACAGTCGTCGTCTTGGGCTCGCCCGCGGTCTGCGGCTGGCTGTTGGAGGCTACCCGCTTGCGCTGATGTTTCGGCTTCACGGGCTGGCCCGCAGAGTTCGGCTCCATTGCGATCTCTCTGTTCAAAGAAAAGCCACCTGTCACAACGGCGGACCACAACACTCTCAGCACGCAACTGCCTTATTCCTCGTAATACGTATTCATCTAAACAAGAAAAATCTTAGTACTTTCTGAGAAGCATCACTACTTTCCTTCGTAAAATTATTCACAACAACCTATTGGCAGTACACTATTTGATAATTCCTGAGTAATTCTTTAAGAAACGAAGAATACGTATTGTGGTTGCACAAATTATGAACATGAGCTTACGAACATATTGAGCATTAAGTGCTGAGTGTGCCTCAAGTGAGATCAGAATGAACGAAATGGATGAACAGTCGGAAGAAATTTTAAATACGAGCCCGGAATATAATCTCAACCTTCCAGTTCAGATCAAATCAGATGGTTCACAGGAAGGTGTAGAAAAATGTCCTCCTTCCCAAGGTTGGTCGATGCTATGCGTCTATGAAGAAGAGACACCGACTGATCAAATGAAGGCGAAGCTACGCTTGTAGGGCACTTCGGAGAAAACCCAGACCGGAAGTCAGCGCCAGAACGGGAGAAACAAAAGAGCGTCGGTACGCCGTGCTGAACGGTGGTGGGGGTCGAAATCGGCGGAGCGGGGGTGAACGCCGCGCGCGCATGCTGCCCCCACCCCGCCGATTTCGACCCCCACCACCGCTCAGCACGGCGTACCGACGCTCTTTTGTTTCTCCCGTTCTGGCGCTGACTTCCGGTCTGGGTTTTCTCCGAAGTACCCCATTGAACTGACGACACGACAATGGTGACAAAGGATAAAGCAATAGAAACATCGACTTTTTCTGTCTTAAGAAAATACATTTTGATGCTTTGATGGACATTACCAACAGCCCTGAGTGAAGAGGAAGAATGATAAAACCCGGAAGCAGTTCCTAACAGCCGCTATAATAGAGTACTCCAAAGAAGCTCTGGACCGGAAGAAGAAGAACAAAAACGGTAGTAAGCAACTGCAGTTTTTATGAGAAATATACGCGGCGCACCTTCATGCGCAGCGTATATTTCACATAGTAACTGCAATTTCTGACTTCCGTTTTTGTTCTTCTTCCGTTCTAGGGCTTGTTTGGAGTACTCTATTAGTGATCATTAGAAGTTCATCGGAATTCGTTAAATTGGTAAAGATTTAACAAAAATTAGAGTCATCACCCGTCACAACCTCTGAAGACGATTTCGGGAACCGACTCCGGTGCGTATCATACTTCTCTGGCTCTTCACTCGGTGTTCTGGTTGAAGTGACTGTAGACATACAAGGTATGTGTACGCCAGACCGTGTCTTGACGTAACAGGCTTCGCAATCGTTCGCGATGCTACGCCAGTTTCGACAATCCACGCCTGGCGTACCGTAAACCGGGGTAACTTGGGACAGCAAGGGTAACTTGAGACGCTTTTGCTTTTCTACCTTTTTGGAGCTTCCCCCTAGTTCGGCACCTAGCGGTCGAAAATCGAACCGGCGTGGGTTTGATTCTACTTAAGACCGATTATCGAACGGGGTGAGAACTGGGACTACCTTTCCACGGTCCGAAAATCGAACCCCTGCACCGTGGCTGTCGGCGGCTGTTGTGTACAAAAACTACTAAGTCGGGAATGTTCCCAGGCGTCACGGACTAATGCCAACTTTTCCGCAGTCTACGGTTCTGGTTAGAAGGAGGCACACGTATTACGGCGGTGATGCGGCCAAGGGATCATCCGATGGCCACATTTCCGAGAACTCTTGGTCCTGCCGTACTAGCCCCCTCCGGAAAGCCGGTCCTCCAGGACTTCCCGAAGCCGAGCACACCGCTGGATCCAAGCGACGGGCGGCGTTCAGCTCCCATCCCCCCCCTTCCCTCAAAGTCCGACGGTGTACTTCTGACGGAGCGCTCGCCCGGCGGATTAGGGATTAGGGACTTTTCTTCGGCTTATGGCCACCAGTGTACCAGCGCACCAAGCGTTAAAATGTTTCCTGCGCCGTTGCAAGCGGACCACGGTACACCGTGAAGCGGACATAATCGGACATAATGGTGAGACAGGAAATAAGAATCAATAAATGGATAAGAATAACCTGTGTAAACTTGCAGCGACCGTCTCGTTAATCCAGTGCAAATAGCGTTCCAGAGGTCTTTTCGTCCGATTTTCAATACACCGGTAGGTCCCTGCGACGCACAGACACCATCTCGTGATCAGTTTTGAGTCATAACAGCTCAAAGGGACGAGCCGAGTGCCCTACAGTGCCCTAGGTACAGTTAATTTGCTTTTTTTAAAAATAAAACATTCGTTCTTGGCGTCCGAATCTCAAGCTGCGGAGGGATCAACGGGAAAGGGGTCCTTAGAGAAGATGATTCGGGGTATGGTTCGGGTACGATGACGTCAGGACGGCCGTGTCAAACTGAAGGAACTTTTTGCAACTTGGAACACCCTCAGATTCTTATGATGAAAGGGCCATCGTAACATACGTTGAAATGAGAACATACGTACTAAATAAAATTCATGCGTAATACGATGAAAAATTAAGCACACTGTTAGAAATTTTGTCGTAAATTAGCGACAAAAAAGTCGCTAATTTTCATAGCGACGGAAGTCGTTCTTATACTGCTTCGTCGTAACTGAACGACTAAAACGTCATTTCTCTACGACTATGTCGTAATCGCGGTTACATATTTTAAAATCTGAAATCTCCAAAAAGTTAGTAAAAAGTTACTATTTTGCTCGCTTATTTACGATTTATATCGTTCATTTACGATTCATAACACAAATTTACGACAAGAGTCGTAAATATACGGCAGAAGTCATAACTGCACGACGTATTCAACAAATAAATTACGATCGTTCGTAAACTTACGATTAAGTCGTAAATTTACGACTTCACTCGTTTCAAAACGGAACGTCTCGCTATCAAAATTAGCGACAAATATGTCGTATATTTACGACTCAAGTCGTATATTTACGACTTGGGTCGTAACAAAAAATGTCGTTTAAAAACAACGTAATTGTTCTACAAAATGTCGTAAATTTACGATTATTTTTAACAGTGCATATGACGTATGTGCAAATTTATGCGTTACCTTACGATGAAAAACCATATTTTTCTCCCATCGATCTCCTACTGCTCGGAGAGGGTCCCTGTGTTCTGAAACTGATAAAGCATGATCAGACGTTTCCATTTCCGTCTCGGAAACATCATTTGGACATCTGGTTCAGTTTCTGTGGCTGTTTTTAGCAAACCCGGTAAAAATGGAATTTTTCGAATAGACTATATTTCGCTGGATCCACTTCGATCCCTCGAAAAAACAAATGCACCGGAAATAGTGTTTCACGGCCCACCTTATTGTTGACGGGTCCAAGTTTAGGTAGGTTGTTGATGATACAAAGTTGAGATTGGTGCTTGTTGCATGGATGCGACCTGCGCGCCAAAATGGGTGACGTCGGTGGCGCCTTGCTAGCGATCTAGTGCGACCTGCGACCTGTTGCGCCAGAGTGGCGACTTGAGCGCTCCGGTGGCGATCTGAGGCGACTTGGCCTCCGTGGCGCTCAGTGGCGCTCGGAGCGCGCTCTGGTGGCGCACTGGCGTACTCAGGGTCTGGCAACCCTGGCTCTCCCTAACATCCCGCGTGCGCAGGTGGTGCAGTGCTGCTGGTGCGTGCAGTGGCGACGGACGACGGCTGGAAGCGCTTGGTGTTCTCTCGCTGCGACTGCGATTGCTTGGTGTGGCAGTCGCGCCGGTGCAACCTGAAGGTCGTTACCGCAGACCGGCCAAGAGGAGCGCCCGGACACCAAGGACTCTTGTGAGTACAATGGACACCCCTGTACACCGAATAACCAGACGTACACTCTTAAAACCTTACGAAGTATTTTGAGCATACATATAACAAACTAAAATACTTTGTTATACGAAGAAATAGTTCGTAAATTACGAAGTATTTTCTTTGTAAGCTTACGTATGCTCAAAATACTTTGTTATACAAACTACTTTTCTTTGTAAGGCCCGAAATAGTTTGTAAGGTTTTCTCAGTGTAGTCACCGCGCCGAATGATGTGGTCAAATGAGTGCCATTTTGCCGGCATCAAAAGCTGTGGTTATAGACCTTTCCAGGCGAAGCTTTTCGTGCGATAACTTAAACTTTGCGCCACCACACTTCAAGAAGCAACTTATATGCAGCAACACTGGTAAAACTAAAGCGTAACTCTATGCTTGAGTCAAGCATAAAGTTACGCTTGAAGACGTTACGCTTGCAATCAAGCATAGGCTAGAAACTCGCGCTGCTCGCTGGGGGCTCCGCCCCCAGACCCCCGCATGTGTGGGGCGCGTGCCGAAGTATTTTCCGTGGTGACCAAACGCAAATTTTCTAAGGAAGTAAATGTGCTGCTTCTTTGAAAGGTCTATTTAACAGCTTTTGACCATATAATTAAGCTACTTTTACTGCCCAAATAGATAGCTTGTGTTGCATTGGCTACTGTGGCAGTCAATGAGTGCATACAAGGTCCGGAAAATATTGAAGACTGCTTTGACAAGGATAGAGGTGAATGGAAAAAACCGCAAGTCTATACGACCACTCCTTGACCCCAAACATTTCTATGAGTGAGTCAGTGAGTGAGTTGCAGTCAGTCAGTCGGATTGCGGCTATAAAGATTCTTGATGATGATGATTTACCCAAATGCCGGTGGCGGGGACCCGACTGCTGCAGTTTCGGAAATTCTCGACCAGACCTACAATAAAATTTTTTAGTCATTCGGTCCCCTTTTTAGAAGATTGAGTAGGTTTGCTCGGAAACGGTGAGAAATTTTCAATTTTTGGGATATTTCCCTATTTTCCCATTAAATTTGGAATCGAATGGAGAAAGCCGCAAGTCTCTTCGACTACTCCTTGACCCCAAACATTTCTATGAGTGAGTGAGTCAGTGGATGAGTCAGTGAGTCAGTCAGTTGGATTGGGGCTATATGGGTTCTTGATAAGTGAGGGAGTCAGTCAGTCGGATTTTGCGGCTATGTAGGTTCTTGATGATAATTGATGATTGATTTTGAGTATGTTGCCGGTGACGGCGACCCGATTGCGGCACAGTTTCGGAAATGTCTCGACCAGACCTACCGATGGGGCGAATAAAAATTTTTAGTCGGTCGGTCTCCTTTTTTGGCCCGCCCTTCTATTCAAAAAATAGGGGAGGGCCTATGCATTTGCCTTTGTGTTGTTGTTGTTGTTGTTGGCGTCTGTGTACAAGGAAGGAGTTGAGCTAGAGTAACCAGATTTGGAGGGTACTTCAGGAGTACCGTCCAAACAAATAATCCGGTGGTGCAAATCCCGTCCGGGTCGCACAAGGGCTGCTGCAGGTGCATCATGGTTTACATGAGCGGGAGGGGGATTTCCGCCATTATTGGTGCTAGCAGGGCACATAGGGGTATTTTTGGAATCGGGGCGACGAGACAAGATGAATGGACCTGGTCCCGACCCCATCGGCCGCTTTTACAAGTTGGCCAGATCAGGATCTTCAAAAAAGGGGGTCGACCGACTAAAAAAATTTATTGCAGATTTCGATTGGTCTCAGCAAGACCTTTTCAACGAGGGGTCGGAAAGGGGGTCCAGGAGCCCGACTTCGTCTATTAGTCACATCAGGATCTTGAAAAAAGGGGGTCGACCGACTGAAAATTTTTACTTAAGTTTCGGATAGGTCTTGGCAAGACCTCTTCAACGAGGGGTCGGAAGGGGGGTCCAGGAGCCCGCCTTCATGAGTTATGGGAAAAAGGGCGACGGACTCGTTTTGCGCTCCTGCTGTGCCTCTATTGCAAGGAGTTGCAGTAGCATGGCAAATATGGGTATTTTCGGAATGAGGGCGAAGAGACAAATGAAATGGGCATATTCTAAGGTCAGTTGGAGTAAAAAGTGTAAGGACTATTGCATATTGTGAATAGAAGGGCGGCCTAAGTCACGATGGTACATCGATAACTTTGCTTTACCCGCTCACGGTGTGTGTGATGCGAGCGGGCCGAAGGCCCGGGCCTTCGACTGGCCAAGTTGGGTCTGATGCGAGGGCCGAAGGCCCGAGAATAGGCCGCCGGCAGGCCAAGCTGGGCCGGCCCCCTGTCGAACCGAGTTGCCGGCGCAGCGAAGCGGAGCTGGCAACTCGGTTCGCCGGAAGGGCGGGCCCTACCTTGTTGAAGATTGAGTGGATTTTGTTGAATTTAGGCCTATTTAATCGTTTTTGAAGATGTTGCCGGTGACGGGGACCCGATTGCGGCACAGTTTCTGAAATGTCTCGACCAGACCTACCGATGGGGCGAATAAAAATTTTTAGTCGGTTGGTCCCCTTTTTGGCCCGCCCTTCTATTCAAAAAATAGGGGGAGGGCCTATGCATTTGCCTTTGTGTCTGTGTGTTGTTGTTGTTGTTGTTGTTGTTGTTGTTGGCGTCTGTGTACAAGGAAGGAGTTGAGCTAGAGTAACCAGATTTGGAGGGTACTTCAGGAGTACCGTCCAAACAAATAATCCGGTGGTGCAAATCCCGTCCGGGTCGCACAAGGGCTGCTGCAGGTGCATCATGGTTTACATGACCGGGAGGGGGATTTCCGCCATTATTAGTGCTAGCAGGGCACATAGGGGTATTTTTGGCCCGCCCTTCTATTCAAAAAAAATAGGGGGAGGGCCTATGCATTTCCCTTTTGTGTCTGTGTTTTGTTGTTGTTTTGTTGTTGTTGTTGTTGTTGGCGTCTGTGTACAAGGAAGGAGTTGAGCTAGAGAAACCCAGATTTGGAGGGTACTTCAGGAGTACCGTCCAAACAAATAATCCGGTGGTGCAAATCCCGTCCGGGTCGCACAAGGGCTGCTGCAGGTGCATCATGGTTTACATGACCGGGAGGGGGATTTCCGCCATTATTAGTGCTAGCAGGGCACATAGGGGTATTTTTGGAATCGGGGCGACGAGACAAGATGAATGGACCTGGTCCCGACCCCATCAGCCGCTTTTACAAGTTGGCCAGATCAGGATCTTCAAAAAAGGGGGTCGACCGACTAAAAAAATTTATTGCAGATTTCGATTGGTCTCAGCAAAACCTTTTCAACGAGGGGTCAGAAAGGGGTCCAGGAGCCCGACTTCGTCTATTAGTCACATCAGGATCTTCAAAAAAGGGGGTCGACCGACAAAAAAAATTTTATTGCAGATTTCGATTGGTCTCAGCAAGACCTTTTCAACGGGGGGTTTGGAAAAGGGGGTCCAGGAGCCCGACTTCGTCTATTAGTCACATCAGGATCTTAAAAAAAGGGGGTCGACCGACTAAAAATTTTTTACTTAAGTTTTCGATAGGTCTTATTGGCAAGACCTCTTCAACGAGGGGTCGGAAGGGGGGTCCAGGAGCCCGCCTTCATGAGTTATGGGAAAAAGTGCGACGGACTCGTTTTGCGCTCCTGCTGTGCCTCTATTGCAAGGAGTTGCAGTAGCATGGCAAATATGGGTATTTTCGGAATGAGGGCGAAGAGACAAATGAAATTGGCACATTCTAAGGACAGTTGGAGTAAAAAGTGTAAGGACTATTGCATATTGTGAATAGAAGGGCGGGCCTAAGTCACGATGGTACATCGATAACTTCGCTTTACCTGCTCACGGTGTGTGTGATGCGAGCGGGCCGAAGGCCCGGGCCTTCGACTGGCCAAGTTGGGTCTGATGCGAGGGCCGAAGGCCCGAGAAAAGGCCGCCGGCAGGCCAAGCTGGGCCGGCCCCCTGTCGAACCGAGTTGCCGGCGCAGCGAAGCGGAGCTGGCAACTCGGTTCGACGGAAGGGCGGGCCCTAGCTTGTTTTAAGATTGAGTGGATTTTGTTGAATTTAGGCCTATTTAATCGTTTTTGAGGATGTTGCCGGTGACGGGGACCCGATTGCGGCACAGTTTCGGAAATGTCTCGACCAGACCTACCGATGGGGCGAATAAAAATTTTTAGTCGGTTGGTCCCCTTTTTTGAAGATAGAGTGGATTTTGTTGAATTTAGGCCTATTTAATCGTTTTTGAGGATGTTGCCGGTGACGGGGACCCGATTGCGGCACAGTTTCTGAAATGTCTCGACCAGACCTACCGATGGGGCGAATAAAAATTTTTAGTCGGTCGGTCCCCTTTTTTGAAGATTGAGTGGATTTTGTTGAATTTAGGCCTATTTAATCGTTTTTGAGGATGTTGCCGGTGACGGAGACCCGATTGCGGCACAGTTTCTGAAATGTCTCGACCAGACCTACCGATAGGGCGAATAAAAATTTTTAGTCGGTCGGTCCCCTTTTTTGAAGATTGAGTAGGTTTGCTCGGAAACGGTGAGAAATTTGTTCCCCTTTTTTGTAGATAAAGTAGGTTTTCTCGGAAACGGTGAGGAATTTTCAACTTTTGGGATTTTTCCCAATTTTCCCATAAAATTTGGAATTGAATGGAAAAACCCGCAAGTCTCTACGACCACTCCTTCACCCCAAACATTTCTATGAGTGAGTCAGTCAGTCGGATTGGGGCTATATAGGTTCTTGATTCCCCCATGCATTTAGATAGGGGGAATCTTGGCAGATGAGCCTGTTACGCTTGATTTCAAGCGTAAACTGATTACGCTTGAAAACAGTGGGTTATACTACGCTTTAGTTTTACCGGTGAAAATGGGACTGAACTCAGTGTTCTTGATACTCCAGTTGGAGTTCAACTCCGTTCCGCCGCAAATAAGCTGGATCTTGTGGCGGCGCAAAGATTCGGGTTTGCCCTAGGAGCTTATTCTGGTAAGGTCTATTGCACTCATCACAAATGCGGTCTACCTTTCTAAGACTTGGGCGGTACCATGCCAAACCAACGAACTCTTGGAGACATCATCTTTATTTTTCTCCGTACTTACTGAAACTTTTTCGATTTTTTTTCTGACAATTGTTCTTTTGATAATAAGAGCTGCGGAACACGATGGAAATAGTTTTGAGATGATTGGACGAAGTTTTGATGTCGCTTACTCCATTGTTTGAAGGGTAGAGGGGGTGGGGATCTTGCAGTTGAGGACGGCCCCCAAGTAGGCGTCTTCCCTGGTCATCCGAGTCTTCCCGGGAAAGTCTCTAAGGGGAAGACTGCATCGTTGTAAGTTTGTTTCGGCACTTGCCTGCACTCTCATCCCCCGTTCATACGTCCCCAAGTGTAGTTGCCGGTGAAAACTGTCTTCGATCAAATTGTAATTTTGCAAACAAATACAAGGTAGGTGTACGCCAGACCGTGTCTTGTTGTTTTAGGATGCGTGCTGCTGCGCCAGTTACGACAATCCACGCCTGGCATTCCACCTACCTTGCCCTGCAGCGCTTCCTGCTTGGACAATTGCCCCCCCCCCCCTAGATAGCCGCCTGACTGGTAGGCTAAAAGCACCAATTTGCCCCCGTAAGTAGGCTTAAAGTGCTACTTGCCCCCCCCCCTCCCCCTTGGGCCGACTCTGGATCCGCCACTGGCCGTGCTAGCACCACTATGGCCGAACCCGCTCATGTAAAGATTGCCTTTTTCTGCCGCTTTTATAGTCCTTTTTGGAGGGTATGTCCACATTCATGGAGATTGAAAGCTGAAGTTTGGTGTATAGTGAGTCAAGGACATACCTAACTACCCTGCAAATTCTCAGCCAAAGGGACCAAGGCGGCGTTCAGGTACCCGACCTGAGTAACGGGCTTCGCAATCGCTCAGCCAACTAGTCAATTCCGCAACTCAACTGCGTTGTAATTCTAATAGGTGTTCCTGTAAATACATGTGAACATCATGCCCTAAATGACGTTTTACATTCAACCATTTGAATTCCAAATTTAACAAGTGCTGTTTCTTTCTTCGAAAGGTGCGGGGTTTTCTCTGAAAAGCTGCGACTTTGCGTAATAACAACTATTATCAATGTAAAATCGGGGTTGCAATTCATTTACAACTACTTTGTAAGTAGATGTAATTTTCAGATCAGTTACTGTTGCATAATTAGCCGGTGTTTTCTCGTAACACGTATGATTAGTGAAATTAGCGAGCTCGGCTAAAGCATTTCTGCCATTTTCCACCAGACAACTAACTACAAGGTAGGTTTACGTCAGACCGCGTCTTGTCGTAACAGGCTTCGCGATGTCTCGCGGCCTGTTCCTCCAATCCGCGCCTGGCGTACCTACCTTGGCCTGCGGCGCTAGCCTGCCTTCGGCAGGCATTGGCTTGTCCGTCGGCGGTTACTTATTGCATGCTGGGGGGCTCCGCCCCCCAGACCCCCCTTCATTATAGATAGAGTAGCTTCATCTACAGATAACACGATCTTGACCCTTGGAACTTTTTAACTTGTCGGCCAGACCCCCCCTTCCTTCACGACAGATGCGATCTGCCCGCAGAAAACTCGATTTTCCGCCGTTTTTTAGGTGTTTTTCGGCTATAAAAACTGAACCAGTTGAGCTAGGATGGTGAAATTTCGCGTGTGCCGAGCCAAGAACATACCTAATAAGGGGTGTTGAAATGCACCTTTTCTTGAATTCCATACCGGCACACCCGGAAAAGGGTTCATTCCTACCTAAAACCACCGCAAACCAAATTTGAGACCAATCGAAAAATATTTAGGGGTCGCTACAATGGCTGAAAGTTGTAAATTTGACGTAATTTGAAACAAAATACAACTTTGGAGTATTTGAAGCCCTGCGCATCCGGTGTTGGTCCTAGCTTGTTGCCCCCGGAGACTTTTTTTTTCTCGGGTTCCAGGCCGACCGAAAGCACCCTACGGGATGCGTTTTTAGCGAATGGTAACGGAACTGGGTCCATTCTACGCTCAAAAAAGTGTTTTTTTCTCAGCTTTTAGTGTTTTAGAGGCCTGCCAAACTTTTGCCTTGCGTCACAAAAAATCTAAACCCATGTATTTTGATAGAAAAAAAGTTGCTCTTTCAAATGGCGGTCACGGAAACAGTCTACGATTTTTGGTTTAGGCTCCAGAGCCGTTTAAAGTTGAAAAATGGATTTTATTTTAGTGAAAATGAGAGCAAATGTTCACCCTTAGTCACGTGCGAAGTATGGTTTGGCCACTAGCGCTACCCGGGGAAGTGCAGGCGGTGCGCTGTGGTGGGAGAAGCTTCCCGGGTAGAAATGTGCGGGTTTTATACAGCTGCTAAATATTTTGTGACCAAAGTAACGCGCAGGCGTTTGAAAAATGCCTGGATTATGTTTGGACTGTGTCAGCAAGATGTCGACAAAATATTCGGATATTTTGTGGACGTTTTGCCAGTCTCTGGCCGGCCGACGTCGTTTTAAACGACCTTAAAAAGATGCCCATGCCCAGAAGGCAAAGACAAAATATCGGCAAAGAGCTGCCGCATCGCTGGCCACAGGCAGCAAATGAGAGACCACAGGCGTCGACCCACAAACCTGCCGCTTGCGAGACAAGAGCGGATCTGCTGGGCCAGAGCGTCATCGCTGAAAAAGAATTGCAGCTGAGTGGTCCGTCTACGTATCCACGACCGTGTGGACTCAGCCGGTCCCTGCCCCAGGTCAAGCCTATGATGTCACGATCCAGCGAACTCTGTTGATCACGCGCGGCAATAACAGCTAGTGTAGAGCGTGGAGCTGCTGCGACCTGCTGTGAACGAATTGGAGCAAAGAGGCTGACACAGTCTAAACATAATCCAGGTATTTTTCGAACGCCTCCGCGTTATTTTGGTCACAAAATATTAAGCAGCCGTAAAAAAGCCGTCCATTTCTAGCCGGGAAACTTCTCCCACGACAGCGCACCGCCTGCACTTCGCTGAGTAGCACTTGTGGCCAAACCATACGTCGCACGTGACTAAGAGTGGACATTTGCTCTCATTTTCACTAAAATAAAATCCATTTTTCAACTTTTAACGGCTCTGGAGCCTAAACCAAAAAACGTAGACTGTTTCCGTGACCGCCATTTGAAAGAGCAACTTTTTTTCTATCAAAATACATGGGTTTAGAGTTTTTGTGACCCAAGGCAAAAGTTTGGCAGGCCTCTAAAACACTAAAAGCTGAGAAAAAACACTTTTTTGAGCGTAGAATGGACCCAGTTCCGTTACCATTCGCTAAAAACGCATCCCGCAGGGTTCTTTTGGTCGGCCTGGATCCCGAGAAAAAAAAAGTCTCCGGGGGCAACAAGCTAGGACCAACACCGGATGCGCAGGGCTTCAAATACTCCAAAGTTGTATTTTGTTTCAAATTACGTCAAATTTACAACTTTCAGCCATTGTAGCGACCCCTAAATATTTTTCGATTGGTCTCAAATTTGGTTTGCGGTGGTTTTAGGTGGGAATGAACCCTTTTCCGGGTGTGCCGGTATGGAATTCAAAAAAACGTGCATTTCAATACCCCTTAATACCTAATAAGCCTGCAAAATCTCAGCCAAATCGGCCGAGCCGTTCAGGAGGAGTAGTGTACACACACAGACAGACAGACAAAACTTTTCAACCGCACTGGAGTACAGTCAGCTTGGTTACTGTCCGACAACGGGAGGGGCCAGGACATAACAGAGCCGGGCGGTAGGCCCGGCCGACCCGGGACCGGATAGCCGGTAATTGCGGTGGTGGGGGGGAGTCTCGGGACAGCTAACAGGAGCCAACTCGGGAAAACCAGAGATACTTAAAGGCTTCGTATCGCTAGCCAATTATTACTTTGTACTTCAAAGGAAAACAATGTTAATTTTGTACTACTTTACTTGAAAAATTTATCTCTGTAAAATTAGGATACTTGCGTCGTAAAATAGTAACACACTTTGTGACACTTCAAGGTGTAAATTTAAAACTTCTTGGAACAGTGTTGCAGTGATCCTGACCGCTGTTCTCTTTTCTTCTGGCGTCGCCATGTCGTTGCGTTGCAACATTTGCTTGGAGAGGTTCGACAACGGGGAGAGGCTGCCCAAGTGCCTCCCCTGCGGCCACACGGAATGCCTCAAGTGCCTCAAGGAGTTGACGAATCTCCGGTGTCCGGAGTGTCGACGGGTAAGTTGAACTCAGTAGCACGGTCACGGTGTTAGTTTGCTTGAAAACCCCGAATTTCGAATTATACATTTGTTTACATGAGATATTTTGATGAAAAATGGTTCCAGCCCGCGAAAAAAAAGCTAAAATTAGAAAAGCCCATGTATTTAATTTTGGTAAAATGCAGAAAATTGACACGGCAGTGCGCAGTTAAACTCGTCTTTTAGTTTGACCCGGCTTCTAATCCTGGCGGAGAATTTAACGACCACTTTTGTTTTGTTTAAGTTTTGAGTTGGTTAACGAGGGTGCTGATAGCAAAAATTACATCCGTTTTGACAACAAGGTTAAGGGGGCACGCACGCCAGTAAAAATCCCTTCCATTTTAGTTTATCTTATTTTTCTGCTATTCATCCCAAGTCAAACGCGGCAAACCCCACCTCATAATTCCAATAACTTGGGCTTGTGCACATTTTTGAAGTTTCTAAAAAGGTAACTGGGTTTGCATATTTTACCCCAATTGTTAACGTTTAGGTGCCTCACTTAGAGTTCAATGATAAAACCCTCAAACCACCCAAAGGCAGTTGGAAAAGGGAAACTATGTTGGCGGAATGAGCCCCGCCAACGCGGTTATTTTTAAAGTTTAGGTGAAGTTAGATAAGGCATTGGTTGGTCGGGACGGCGCCATAACTTGTTTGTCGTTTTGCAATATTTTCGGCGGCCGTTCGGGCCGTGTTGGCTTGAGTGAAGGGATCCCAGAGTGACCTATGCTCGGTCACGCGGACGGCTCTCCGCGCGGCAGGGTGTGCGTCACGCACAGACTTTGAACGAAGGGCTGCCTCGCGCTGGAGGCAGCGAGCAGCGAAAATCCCTTCACTGAGGCCGGCACCGATGGTTAGCGTAAGGGAGTTCGCGCGCGGTGTCGTGGTAGCACTGCGTTATCAGCCAGAGTCGAAGGGCTGGACTGGAGCGCGGTGCTCCGTCCGGGGCACTGCGGGGACAGTCGGAGACGGAGAGTCAGAGAGTGTAGTGGTAGTCTGCTAGTGCTGGAGTAACCTTGTAAGAGTTTGTGAAAATATACATGAATTTTACGATCAACGTCGTTTCGTTCTTCACGAAAAACACCGAACACTGCGGACTCCCCAACAACTATTTTGTGCGCAAACCGAACTCAAATATGTCATAAGGGGGCAGTCTCGTCCCTGGACCCTTTTAAGGGGGTTTCCCCCCTCTTTTGATGACAATGATTTTTTTAAATATACCTCTCAGAGACAAACAGTAATGAAACAACGGAATATTTACAACATTTTCAAAAAAGAAATATTTTGTTTTGTCTCCAGTTGTAAGGGAGTTATAAGGAATACAACAACACCTCTCTATTTTCACTGGTGTGCCCCCTTAATATCCCGTTAGGGCCCTTACGGACAAACGCGAAACGGGTCAAAGTTGCCGATTGGTATTGTCAGTTCTCCTATTTTGAGTGTTAATTTTTTCCGCATATGTTCTTTGCAGGAGCTGGTCGGGCCTGTTGACGCTTTGCCGAACAACTATTTCGCTTTGAGTTTCGTCGTCGAAAGGGAACAGCAGAAGCGCGCTGATCTGAGGTGAGGCATGGCGGCGTTGCCAAACTCGTCACTTTTTGCCCGTCCCGTATCTCAAGGGGTCCTATTCAAAATACCTTTTCTAGGTGTTCGCGTGCAAAGAATCTTAAATGAAACACAAGAGAATTCCTATATATTTATTTTTCTCATATACATTCTTATACTTTACGCCGAGAATCATTAGTCAGCTGGGCGATTCCATGCCAAACCAACGAACTCTTGGAATTTCATTTTTTCGATTTGGATGAAACTTCTTTTAGGGGTAGGGGCGAGGGTAATGACGTCATCATGAAAGGATCCCATGTCTAGGGATTTTGCGGTGTGCGTCCGCCTCGTTAGGCTGTAATATGATAGCGAAGTTTTCACTTTGGTCAAAATAATTCTGATCAAAGTAACGACTTCGCAGAATGAAAATAATTTTTATACTATCTTTGTTTCTCTCCGTACCTACTGAAAGTTATAAGATTTTTTCCGACAGTCGCTAATGAGGTAAAAAGAGCAGGGTAACATGATGGAAATAGTTTCGAGACGATTGGATGAAGTTTTGATGTCGCGTTCTCCATTTGAGGTAACTTTTTTCCGAAAATTCGCTGTTTTCAAAATAGCTTATCTTTGATTTTGATGTGACTTTCCTCACATGATCCTCTCACACATGGGAAGAAAATCCTAAAAGGATTTGGTTGGCCGTTGGCCCACCGTAAGTTTTGTTTCTGGATTGGATAGGAATAGATGTAACAATTTGGCCGTTTTATCCTTTGATTCTCGAACCAACTTTCTCAGTTTGCGTCCAAGCGGGCACACAAATTTTGTCTTGTCGGGACGAATCCGTTGATATATAGAAAAGTCATTTGGGACAACTTATAAATTTACCCTAGTTGCCCTCAAACTGGAATAGGGTGCAAATTTTCAAAATTGTCCAAAATGACTTTTCTATACATCAACGGATTTTACCAACTGAAAATATACTGAACGGGCCAAAGTCGCCGACTTGTCCACTTGTCGATTTGTCCACTTTTCTGTTTATTCTAAACTTCGCCTAGAGAGAAAAGTATGGTTTCATGAAGCTATGACATCTCATGCATCCCAGAACCTTTCAATGTGGTGGGCTTCTTTAAACGCAGTAATTCTCGTTTAAGTGAAAATGAGGCAAATGTTGTTCGATTCACAGGCTTTAACGTTTTGGGTTGCATCAATTGCAAGTTCAGTCCCGCACCCTCGTTCTCAGATGACCTGAGTCCTTAAGCGATCATGTGGTCTGAACCGTCCTTTCTCGGTGTTGTGCAGGTTGTGGTGCCAGGACGACGGCAAGCTTGCGACCGACGAGTGCGTGGACCTGGGCCACTCCGTCTGCACTCTCCGCAAGCTGCGCTCGGAGCAGGCGGCGCCGCGGCTGCAGCAACTGGAGAGCGCTGCGTCGGGGGCGCGCGAGGTGGTGCAGGCGCTGCGGGACGCCGAGCTCGCCGTGCAGGCCGAGCTGCAGCAGTGGCAAGGCAGGCTGCGGGACGCCGAGCGGGCCCTGAGGAGGCTGCTGGCGGCCATAGAAGATGGCACCGTCTCGGAGACAGCCCAGCCCGACGGCCTGGAGGAGCTGCAGGACGCGGCCAGCCTGCTGCAGTTGGAGTGCACGCTGCCAGTGCAGCTGCGGGCCGAGGACGGCACACTGTGGGAGGCCGGCCTGCAGCAGGGCGGCCGCAGTCTGCTCCACCCGCTGCTGCTGCACCTGCACCGGAGCGGCGCCATCGCCAAGGTAGGCGGCGGGGGCTGCGGTGGGATAGTTGGATTTTTGATGAGTTAATGCATTCTAAATATTCGTTTTGGTGTCCATAGCGTGTAGCCGAAGACTTGGGTCCGTCATCCGAACCAAAGCCGTGCCCCAAGGACCTAAGTGCAGCTAAATGCAGGATTTGTTTAAAATCTGAGTTACGCTTAAAAATAACACCGCCACAGGGTAAATGGCCTCAGGTGAAAAAGTTTCGTTGGTTTTAACGTACGTTCGCTCCTTCATGCTAAAACCGGTTAAACAAGAAAAAAAAAACACAATTCCGAGCCTGGTTTTAGGTCCTGTTAGCTGCGGAGGCTGTCTCAGCACGCCACTGAGCGCGGTGAAGTTTCTTCCTTCAATTGGGTGAAAATGTTTTTTCTAGCAGTTTTCTTACTTCCATCATGTCCCTGAGCCCATAGGCAAATTGGCGTCTTGTTGTTCTTAGCAGTGTTTTTGAGCTCCCTTTAACCCTCATGCAGCTTCTCCCTACCAGCCGTTATATACGGTAGGAATATTCATTTTCACCCCATTTTCGTGTGAGGTCGTACTTTGGGCCATTTACCCTAATAGCGGTGTTATTTATTCGAAGGTCAGATTTTGAAAAATGCTGCATTGAGCTGCAGTAAGGCCCCTGGGGCACGGCTTCGGTTATGGTTGCGGACCCAAGTCTTCGGCTACTCACTTTTGACACGAAAACGAGCTCATCGAAAATCATTAAAAGTAGAAAATCCGACTAGCCTAGGGCTACGGTGGTTCGTCTCCAATCGACCACAGAGGTGAATAAACTACAGAAAACTTAGTTAACTTTTTGCCATGATTCTCCGTACCCAAAATTTAATATTTTTCGTCTAAACAATCTTCGGCAAGGCGTACAGTCTTCTCCGCATGGCCGTCGCCGACCAGTGTGGAAGTCTTACCCTCCGGAGGACTATGGAAAACGTTGCGTTCGGGGTTCGGAGAATTATCACTAGTTATTAACAGATATTTTCCTATCTTTTCGCTAGTGACGACTGGTTTATTGTACACTCTAAATGTCTTGCAATGATATTTTAGCCATGTTACAGTGAATTTAGCGCAAACATAGTACGAAAGAGTATTTTTTTATTATTTATTATTTTCTATATTTTCACTGTAAGATACACAGAAAAACCTTTCTTAATACGAAGAAAAACGACCTTCGTATTATGCTTGCGCTATCTTCTTCATAATAGACAATTAGGGTGTATTTATCGAGGTATTCATGTTAATTATAAGATTTTGTCTACTGGTATTACTTTTGACCGTTTCCAGGTCGGGAAGCCTAAGGATGTTGCAGCTTCTGACGACTTCAGTCCAGCAGAGTGTCGTGATGTGTCAGAGTACTGTGCACGCGAGGATCACAGCCAGGAGACGGACGATGTGCTGAGGGATCCGCACCTGGACAAGGTGAGGCAGGGGCAAGGCAACAGAAGGCACACAGCTGAATTTTTCTCGTCACAATCTTTATTCTTAAGCACAGCACTCCGTTTCTGAAAAGATTTAATGTATGGACCCGAAACGGACGATAACCACTATTTCCGAGCAAAATAAACTTCGAGTCGGCTGTTCGGTGCCGGGAAAATTGTTCTTAAATGTACTTGCAAGATGTATCAACGAGGGTCGATGTAAGATTTTGTGTTTATTTTTTGTGTTTATTCACATCGCGCAGCACAGCTCAGTCAGCGGGAGCGACCACCTGGCTTGAACCACTTCCCGACAGTTGTCGCTCACTCGCGGATGTCCCTACCACCCCCCACCCCCACCTTACGTGTGACGTTGAGTGCTATTCGTGTTGCAGGTCAAGAAGCTGAACGGGGTGGACTGCAAGAAGCGTCCCAGTTGGTGCAAGGTGCTGCTGCAGCGTGTGGCCCCGCGCGTCGAGTGGCTTTGTTTAAGCTTTGCCCTCCGTGAGCACCTGGACGTGATCCACGACATGCCTGAACTGCGCTTCTTGTACGTCCTCATGGCGAAGTGTAGCACGGTGGCCCCGGACCTGCCGCTGCAGCTGGAGGAGCTGATGGTGGTGAACGTCCCGAAGCAACACCTGCAGTCGGTGCAGCGCATGCCCAACCTGCGCAAGCTCACCTTGGACTGGAGCAGTCTTCCGCTCGCTGTGGCCTTCCCCCCTCTGCCTCCGGGCCACCGCGGCCTGCAGTGGCTTCAGGTGTATCTCCGCCCCGTCTCCACCGTGCTGTCGCTGGCCAAGGCCCACGCCGCCACCCTGCAGGAGCTGAGGATTCTCTGCGCGTCGGAGGGAGACTCGCCGTGGCACTTCGAGGACCTAGCGGAGGAGCTGGGGCGGTGCGGGCTGGTGGCGCTGCGGCGCGTGGTGCTGCTGCGAGGAGGGGCTCCAGGCTTCCCCGACAACAAGCTCCCCCACGGCAAGGAGTCGTGCCGGCCGCAGAAGCACGCCGTCTGGGACAGCCTGGTGGCGGCGGACTCCAAGGCCGTCAGGGTGGTGACGGTGCTGTGCTGGGAGTGCGACAAATGCCCGCCCTTTCCGAAACTGGGGAATTTCACTTGGCAAGAGAAGTGAGTGGGTTTTGTGTGTAAAGCTGTACAGATAGCTATCAGTCGCAACGTTCGCTTGCGTTACAACCTTTGGGATGACACAAATATCTTACCTACTGATTCCTTCTCAATTTTGGTTGTCAACCAAGACCATTTTTTCTTTAATACGATTGCTCCATTGCAATGAAAGCGCCCTGGGGTGTTGGTATCAATTTGTTGAAGAATTCATTCACTTGTTAATTTATCCATTTTAACTACTTGTGTTAGTTTATTTAGGGAGTGGCTTTCGAAACTGCACTGTTACACCTTCGAAAGCTGCGTGTCATCTGCATGCCATCTGCGTGAAGCGCCAGTGGAGCGGGAGTCGTTGGAAGTGGTAACACGCTTCAACGCCTCTGTTTAGGAAACAGTTTCACAGTTAAATAAAGTGATTTATATCTGGACTTGTTCTGTTGTCGTATGTCGCATGTTTTCCTTCACGAGCTGCAACGCTGTCCTTACTAAGAATGTAAAACGCTCAAGTTCAAGCCAGAGCCTGGATCGGAACTGACATGAGTAGCTTTGGAGGGCCTGCCAAGGAGGTTGGTGTATCGAAATAGATTCCGTTTTCGTGAGTAACTGCCTCGAGTAGATCTCAAGCCCCTGCAGGCCGTGGGGTAGGCAACCCAACTAACGCCTCTGCTAGACGGGCTGCCTACCTAGCCGGCGCTCGGCCTGGCCGCTCGAGGCACAGTGAAGGTAGGCCACCCATTCGACGCGTCCCCGTGGGGCGAGAGACACATCGGGCGAAACTGTCATGATGTAGATGCAAAAGAGTTCCCCTCGTCGGACCGAGTGATCGATCTCAGAGTGGCACTGTTTGAGATGCTCCGCCTGAACCTTCTCTCGCGAGGTCAGTTCTGTCTCACCGCTAACGACCATCCCAAACCTGGTCTTGGCCTGAGCGATTCTCACGTTTCGGGGTAGTTTCGTTTCTTCTGACTCCTGTGCCCAAACGAGCGCAGATATCGACATGGGGTTTGTTTCTGATGTTAGGGAGGGCCATTGCCCACTAAACGCACACATTTCGAAGAGTTCTCGTTCGTTGGATTGGTCTACGTAGCGTTTGGAATACCCCAAATGTAACTTCCGTGATTGTCCAAAGAGAACATACTCGAACTTTCCGCCCCCAGAGTGGCGGTGTGGTTCGAAAATGCTTGCCCACTGTCGATGGGGATTCGAAGCTTGGCATGTCTCGAGCTAATTTCAACCGAAGACCAATACGCCAGACTTCTTTCAAAGGTACTTATGCTGCAACGAAAAATGTCCTCCGTATATTCAATTTAACTACACAAATTTCGAAAAGGCAGCTCTGGACTTCTCCCCAAGCCAAACTTTTAACTTTCCATGTCACAAGCCATCAAAGTGGAGTCCCTGGGATATAATTGCATGGGTCGCGGAAATCTAAGATGCTGTACACGGTCTCAAAGCGGGCTAGAGCATTATAAAATGGCGTGTATCAACAATTACCTGTAACTTCCGTGGCACCCTTTACCCAATGTTGCAGCAGCACTAGGTGAAAAAGTTTTCCGCTGAAATGTCGGGCTTAGAGTATCATTTGACCCTGGAACGACTTTGAAGCCACAGCAAGCCCGAGTCAGCCGTTAAAGCTGATTTTCACACTTTGTAACTTCCGTGATAACGTAATTTCCGTGATCAAAACACCCACTAAAACGTATGGGAATACCTTATGGCTCATGTTTTTAGCAAGATAGTACAAGGTCTTTACTATAAATACCATTGCCATAACTCTAGTATCATCCAGGACCCCAATAATCAGAAAAACTTAATTGGATATTTCTCACTTTCGGCAAATCAGAGACGCCAAAACTACCCCGAAACGTGAGAATCGCTCGCCTCTGCCTTGATCCATTTTCCCCCTCCTGACCTATCTATGCGCTTGAGGCAGTCGAATCATGCCAGTCGAGCTACATACCCAGGCGGTTCCTGTCCTGAAGTGAAAGGGTCTGGCCGGCGATCAGAAATTGTATCCACATAGTTGCACAGCGCCGGGAAGGTAGACCACCCCTTTGGCACGGCCGGTACCATAGCGCTCTCAGCCGCCTTTTTTCTAAAAAATTTTGTTTCAGAAGTAAACCTAGGAAAATGTTTACATGCTTAAGGAGTTGTACCCATGGCCCTTTCTTAGATGGCGGCTACCTTTGAACTCTGGATTGTGGTCCTGATAATGGTAGAAGGCAGTGCCATTCTGGATTTTGTCATTTGAAAAATATGCAGTAAAGGAATCCAAGCAACACTGTAAAAACCATTGAAATATATTAGTTAGCCATGCTGTTTTCCAAAGAGAAAAGCAGTTTGTCAAAGAATTCAGGAGGCGTCACAATTCGAAAAAAAAAATAGCTTTGTATTATTTATAATTACTTTATTGTTGATGAGGAAACCATGGTCATAAATTTGATTAAGTCAACTTTGAAGGGCCATATGAGACCACTAATATGTGCTGTAAGAATATTGTTTGCATTGACAACTTTTAAAGAGATAACAAGAAACAAAACGTGAAAAACACAAAGGTCTATAACTTTCGTATCATTCCCACAATGCTGAAATGATTTTTCTGAATGTTGCTGGCACAAACGATATATGAATAAAATTATCACTTATTCTACTGACTTTGAATGGATGTGAAAGACCTGCAGACATATATTCACATATTTACGGAAATACCCTTAATGAACAAATTCTCATCAATAAACTTTGGTATTCTTTCAGCTAACATGCTGGATGGTTTTTCTGTCTCCATTTGAAGATAGAAATGCAACACTAAAACCATAAAAAAACTAAATATGAAGTGTCACATTTCAACTGCCAAGAAAATAGTTACAAACACCACACAATCAAATGCTTGAGAAGGTTTGATATTTTCCACAACTACAATTATCTTTGGCTGCACTTGTAAAAGTATGAATCTGTGGAGCTTGAAGCAATTACAAGATAGAAACAATACTTAGTATGCTGAAACTCCACAAACATACAAACTTTGATTTGAGCAGAAGTATATTTACATTTGTCAGAAAAGACATTCTACAAGATATGGTATTACTGTACAATGAGAAATTTTCAGAGTCATCCCTAACTCCATGAGACCAAGAGATAATGCGAAGAGATTCTGACATGAATTAATACTAAACACAAAATACATACACATTAAAATAAACATATTTAACAAATCACAAGGCTCACTGAATAAACACGACTACATCATAACTGCTTCTTAGCAAAATGTTATTTTAAAACATGAAATGGTGAATGATATCTAAGACAAAAGAGTGAGCAGTAGGAAGAAGAACAGAGAAGAGGTTTGACCAGATAAATACAATCCATTTCTACAGGATTGAAGCTGGATTCTTCGAATCACAGATCGAGTCTTCATATGGT